CTATGAATAGACATAGATATTATTGATACATAGATATGAATATATAATATATAGATAGATAGATATGAATAGATATAGAAAGATGTAAACGAAGAGAGAGGTGGACGGAGGGAGACAGGGAGAGAGAGGTGGACGGAGGGAGACAGGGAGAGAGAGGTGGACAGAGGGAGACAGGGAGGGAGAGATGGACAGAGGGAGACAGGGAGGGAGAGAGAGGTGAACGGAGGGAGACAGGGAGGGAGAGAGAGGTGAACGGAGGGAGACAGGGAGAGAGATATATGGAGGGAGACAGAGATATGGAGGGAGACAGGGAGAGTGATGTGAACAGACGGACGCAGGGAGAGAGATATGGAGAGAGACAGGAGAGAGAGATATGAACAGAGGGAGAGAGAGAGAGAGAGAGAGATATGACCAGAGGGAGACAGAGAGAAAGATATGAACAGAGTTTGGTTTGGTTTGGTTTGGTTTATGGCATATCAACCTCAATGGGTTATTTAATGCCGACAAAATTTTCATCGTTGGCAATATTTTTTCCAAAAATCTATTTCTGTTAATATTTTTTTCTTCAAAAAATATTTCTTATTAATTTTCCTTTACTGGCAATATTTGCTTTTCAAAAATGTATACCTGGTAATTTTTTTTTAATTGTATTGCTGGTAATATTTTTTTTACATAAATGTATTGCTGGTAATAATTTTTTTACAAAGTATTTCTAGTCTTCAAATCTATTCTTACACTTTCAGTGTTTTGACCCCAGTTTGGGGGTTAACTATTTTCCCATAGCTGGGACCCTAACAGGTGCTACCACCCCAGGTTAGGGTAGACCAGGGAACACTAGCAATTAAGAGATGGTTACATGCTCCTCAGAACCTCCTGATCAGAGGCCTTGCTGTTGGATGTAGTTTATCGTTTTACCCAGGATGTTGAACAGAGTGAGGCAGGGAGAGAGATATGAACAGATAAATTCACCTACAATGAATGGTCATCCTCTTAAAAGAGCATCTTACTTTGAATGTCTATATGGACTCCAGTTCACTCCAGACCACAAGTGGAACTCATATTCATGATAGGTCACTAGGAGATGGTGGAAAACGCTCGTCTCCTTTTACCTTTCTAGTAAGTACCTCATTCCACTTGCCATGCTCTATCTTTACAAGAGTCAGGTCAGATCAAAAATGGAGTACTGCTGGGCTGGCGTAGCCCAATCTCTCTTTCCACTCTTGTCAGAGTTCAAATCATTTATGCGGCCTTGTAGGAGATGAATTATTTTCCACCTGACCACCTCTTTTCGCATAGATGCAAAGTTGTAAGGTAATCGCTACTGTTTAGTTATTTCCATGGTAAATGTTCGAATGAGCTACATTCCCATGCTCCACCATTTTAGACGTTCTGTACCATGTTCACTGGAGAGATCCACCCTCATTTCCTTCCATATTTCATTGGTAAGGAGAAAGTTCCATTTGGGTAGTTTCTTCCTGAGAATCAGTGCTTTGTGGAACCGACTCCCGAGAGGATGCTTTCGCGATCACTAAAATCTTAACCTCTTCAAGTCTAGAGTCAACTGTTATTTATCCTATAGTTGTAGAATAACAATACAATAAACAGCATTTACCGGAGTAGCGTCCAGCTGGCAGACAAAAATAAAGCAGGTTGTAACTCAATACAAACCCTGCAAACTAACTGATGAAGCAAGCTGGTATTTATACAGAAATACCTCCACTCATGTACCAGCAGCCAATCACAGCCCAAGCAATGGACCATCCCACTTTAGCACAATGAGATGCTCCATGGCACCATAAATAGCTCTCTTTCTCAAGGTGGAGCTGTTGTCAAGGTGAGTGTTTATCTTGACTACGTGATTGCTCTACAACAGTGTGGTCAGAAAGTCTTGTCATATCTACATAATATAATTTTCTATTTCAGATGGCTGACACGAGCTCCTACAGTTTGGAAGAGAGGCTGCTTGCAAGTGTATGGACACATGATCAAGGAGAGAGTTTCACAAGAGCAAGGAGAGAGTTTCCCATGAATGATACCAGAATAGGTATCAGTTGAAGGACGCCGTTCGTAGGGCCTTTGCAACAATCAACAAAGTACAGCTTCGTAAAATGATCACACAGGACATGGCGCAGCATCATTTTATGCCACGAAAATGATGGTGTTCATACAGACCATCTCGATGTGGCCCAGCGTCAATGAAAGTAAATAAACTGAATTCAGTCTATGTGCTTTGTATTACTGTATTACTTGTTCTTCTATTGTTCTCATTATTTTTTGGTAGGGGTGACAAGACGTTCCAACCGCCCTGGGGTTAACAATTCAAGAAGGAAAACTGGAAATAAATACAATGTATCTAAAAACATGTTATAATAATAGATCATTCCATCTTAAAAAAAAATCAACAATGTTTTACGACAATTCTTCCTTCCTCTAAATTTAATTATCTATATGTTTATTTAAACCTTGTCATCTTCCGTTTTATTGCAAAACAATGTCCGGAAAAAATATATGCAAGGACATAAACAAAAACGCTCACGTAAATTGAGAGTCCAATGCCCTTGGGAACATTTAAAAAGTTGCCGACCTCAGGTTACATCGATATTTAAATAGATATTATTATTTTGAAAACTTCTGTCTGGAATTATTGAACGAGGTTTTAGTTTCTGATCAATAATTTATTCGGACTCTGATTTTCATTTTGTCTATTTTGATCGTTTCTTGGCTTATATATATATATATATATATATATATATATATATATATATATATAAGGGAAAGATAATTGTTCCAACGAGAGAAAAGAGTATATTTTAAAGAGAAGAGAGAAGCCGCAAACGTTTTTGGTCTTAATTTTTTTAAGTATATATTATAATTTATTTCATATGGAAAATAAAGTATAAGATAATAAATCTGTTGGTATATAATCCAAGTGGATCCTAGTAATATGAAATATTAAAAGTGATCCGCAATAAGAGTTCAATGTATTTATTATAACAGATCATATAAATTACTAATTACACAACAAAATCCAAGATTACCTCATACGAGGTGGGGTTGGAGTATACCCCCCCATATGAGGTAAGTTGGGATTTTGTTGCGTAATATATATATATATATATATATATATATATATATATATGTAAGCAAATGTAAATGGATATAGATCCGACGGAAATTTTAACAATGCTTTAGTTGTACACACAACTAAAGCAGATCCTAATTCGATTTCGATTCCGTGAAGGTATTAAAATATTTTCATAATAAAAATCTCAGGAGGATTTATGAAGCAGGTATAATATCCATCTCACGCACGGTGAATACTAGACCTGGTTTCTTTAATATTTCCCCTTTTTTAGCGAGATTAATGCTCGACAAGCATACACATAAAAATTTTAGATCCTAATAGAATTCTTTTCATTTTCTTTTTCATTCAAAATAATCAAAAATTTTTAGGAATACGTTTTGAAAGCGTCGCCCATGTGACGACAACGTGACCATGCTAAACGGAAAGCTGATCATTTTAAAAAATTTCAGTTATCTGTTTTGGATAAGACTTGTTTTTATGTCCATCGTCTTTGTCAAATTGAACTGAATTGTATTTTAATGAATATTGTCCTGAAGAAGGTTTATTAAACCGAAACGTCAGACGTCGACATTTCATTCATTTTAAACAACATAATTGCATTTAAGGATTTTTGTTTGTTTTTTCCAAATTTTTCTTCATATATATATAATTTTGTAGTTTTTAAACTTAATAGTGATTAAATTTGGATTTTAAAAATTGCCAGTTTTTAATTTTAATATTAAATTTTATCATGTAAATTTATAATTATTAGTTAGTATAAATTTTAATATTACACGTATTTAAAGATCTGAATAGCTATTAGAGCAGGATTTCGTTGTCAAGCTTTTGAATCTTTCTATACTTCGTTTTTGATTGGTTATTCTAGCTTTTGTAACAATGTTTCCCCCTCATGTAGGATCGTTAATTAATCTGAAACTTTTAAAACCATTTATTTTCTTTTCAACATCATCACTTGATAAGACACAGAGTGTGTTGAAACAAAATGGCTATTTTTGTAGTGATTTTATAACATACTTATGTTATAATTTTTTTTAAAAAATAATTATATATATATATATATATATATATATATATATATTCTATTTCAGATGGCTGACACGAAAATGATGTCGTTCATACAGACCTTCTCGGTGTGTAACAGCCTCAATAAAATTGAATAAACTGAATCCAGTACATATGCTTTGTATTACTGTATTGATCTTCTATTGTTATCATTACTTTTTGGTAGGGGGTGTGACAAGACGTTCGGACCACCCTGTACAATTCTTATATCCATATATAAGCTCATTCAGCAATTCCATACTTTGAGTGGCTCTTGGGCATTTTATTGCGTGAACAGTAGCATGGTAAAAGCAAAAATCTGGAATTTCTTTGATGATTGCGTTATCAGAGTGGTGATACTGTCTGGATTTTTTTAAATCGGTTCACCCCAAGCAAGGCAATAATGCCACTAAGACGCAAGAGGCTGCTGGGAGTGAAAGAGAATGAGGAGACTTTAGAAGGAACTAGAAATCCAATCGTAAACCGGAAACAAGGGATAAAATTCTGTAATTGAGAATACCAAGGAACGAACATGTGAGCAATGACAGTTTTAGAGAAAACAAAAAAAAACCCCCAAAAACTTGTACTTATTACCAGAAAGAAACAACTGAAATTTCCAGGGCATATAATGAGGAAAGAAGGTATAGAAAATTTGACACTGATAGGACATATTGTGGTGAAATAAAATTAAGACTAAGAGGCCACAATGTCTGGCCTGCCCATTTGGAGCCACCATTTACAATTCAGCTAAAGCGCTTACATAGTCCCAGCTTTCTTAAAACTATCGCTGACACGCGTGGTCAAAAACATGGATAAAAGGTGAGTTACACTGACGAGTAGGGAATTTGCTAAAAAGTTGGACCTGTGCTGGACCAGGCTCGTTGTGGCTATCAACTACACATAATGAAGACAAGAGGGACAAGCAGCATATAACCCCTACCTAACGAGCGTGTATAAATGGATGGTAGAACAAGGTTTAGGTCCAATAGTGAAAAGAGAAAATTTACTAAGAGCTACAAAGGACAGAAAATCGTGGAGAGCCATGATCGCCTACATCTTGAAGGGACACGGCACATAGAGGAAGAATGAACTTGACTAAATGGATGGCAGAACAAGGTTTATGTGCGATAGTGAAAAAACATTTATTAAGAGCTACAAAGGATAGGAAATCGTGGAGAGTCATGATCGCCCACATTCAGAAGGAACAAGGCACATAGAAGAAAAAGAACAAGCTTGTGCCATTGATTAGCAAAACAGGGATAAGGCGAGGTAGAAAAATACAAAATTTATTAAGAGCTACAAAGGACAGGAAGTGGTGGAGAGCCATGATCACCTACGTCCTACGGCACATAAAA